AGTATTTTAAGTAGTAGACTTTTTCTCAGAAAGGGTTTTGAAATCTGAATCTGAGTGAATTTATAAAGTGTCTGTAATTCTGTCAGAATTGGAAGGCTGAGGACTGTAAATTTTCACTTGTTAAATAGCTAGCTTGACCAATGGCAAATGAATAGGCTCAAAGGTTAAAGGCAATGGTTCACTGAACTCCATAGCAGACTGCATGAGGCATGTTTCCAGTGTTACTGAGCTGTTTAGCTGACCTTTTCGTCTTTTTTTCCCTCTTTTAGCAGGGGAGGGTGTTTTACATTCACGCACAGTCATTGACTAGAGAGACCCTACACACTTCATTCATCACGAAGTAGAAACGGAAAGCAATAGCACAACTTCCTTACCTGTTGCACATGTCAGGACACAGTTGTATGTGTGGAGAGATGTGCTGTTTTTTATGACTCTTAGTGGTAATGAAAACATTTTGTTCCATTAGTTCATGATGGAAATAGGAGCTCCTCTTAAAATAGTATGTATTTTTAAAATACAATGCATTTTAAAATATTATGTATTTCAGTATTATAACATCAAAATACCATGTAGCAATATTCTCACTGTTGAGTGTTCTGCTGGAAGATAATAAACACGTGACTGGCTTTGAATCTCTTAAGAGGAAGCTGTTCTTGGCTGGTAATGATGTCCAGTATCTGTCAAAAGGAACCACAACAGAGGCAACTTTTCCTCACCTACTTAGCCTGAGGACTTGGCAGGTCTCTTGTACTAAACAGGTTAAATCTAATCTGTATCTGACAGATCTACGATGAAAAGTTGAGGAAGTACTATTGCTAGTTCAGTGCAAGGCGATCTCTAGTAAGTCTGCCTGGAGTTGCAGCTCCAGCATGTTTCCAACTGCTGTTTAGCAGTGAGAGGTGGTTTCTTTCAAGTGTGGCATCTATCAGACCAAAGGGGGATACTCTAGCCTTCTTTTTGGTGGTTAAGATATGGCATCATTAACATCAAAACTAGATTGTAGTTTGTGCACGCATGTATGAAGCAATGTGTGAGACTCAGCAGATGCTGTCCATGCACAAATGTGATTACTCATCAGAAAGTCACACAGCTGTTTCACACCAGATCTCCTTTGTCTGCCTGTGTTTTCTCTCCAAATCACACACAAGTTTAACCATTCCCTCAGACACTTATCTGCAACTCTCAGAACACATCAAACCATTTCAAAGGATAGCAGAACAGAGTGTAAGCATATTTTTCAGGTTAGTGAAGGAGACTTTGGGGGGAAAATTATTATTTTCTTTAGATGTGCCACTGGAATCACATGTACCAACATTCAGGACTTCAATTTGAATGCCTGTAGGACTGGGGACTGCTGAAAATGTAAGGCCTTGTTTAAATGGCACTTTTCACTGCCAAAGTATTTGTGACCAAAGTTTTACTCATGGAAAAATAAAAATGGCACTTTCCAGTAAGGGCACGTGGTTGAAATTTTGACGATAGATGTACCTGTTCAGAGGAGTTTGCTAAATCTGACTGGAGCAAAGGACCAGCATGTTTTCTTTTGTTAGTGACCCACGGCTTGTTTGATCTAGTGAGAGTTTAGAGTAATCTGGATACTCTCAGAGTGAGGTTCAAACTGTATTATGGTAGGTACACAAAGATATAGGGATGTCTCTCTGTCTGTCTATCTATCTATCTGAAAATAGGTGTAACTATACCTGATAGAAGAATTTTGCAGTAAGTGAGGCTGCAGAAGTGTGACAGGGAATTTGATACCAAATTTAGTGCTTAGCTAACAGCCTCTTGGCTTGTACTTATGGGAGAACTGAATCTCTGTGTTGGTTCTGCAGGCTTGCAGTAATGAAGAATAATTTGCAGTTAATTCCAAAAGAAGCATTCTGTGCATGCATATGGCTTCGTCTCAGAGGAAGTGTGCTTATTCAAGATAGTATTTAAACATGTATTTAAGCAAAAGTTTAACTATCAGTGAAGTTATGGAGCCAAGAATATGCTTAATTCCCATCCCTAGATCTAGAATATTAGTACTGAATAGTTATTGAAGGATACATCAAAAATTGAAATCTAAGTTCAGAGGCATAGCTTGAGTTAAACATAAAGGGGAAGAAGATTTTCAGTCCTACAGCTAACAATGCTGTGGAGTTCCCAGTTAAAGAAGAGGGCAAAAATCTGAAAGATTTAGAAAAAAAGCAGTTGAAATATTTTTGTTGTTCATTTTTCTTTTGATTTTTTTTTTAAGCCTTTAGTTTCCTTTGAAAGAAAGCAATATGAAATATGGTATGCTTAGGTATTTTTTTCTATTAAAAATGTTCCTTAGGTTTCGTAATGTTTCTTTAAAATGTGGTGCATAAATAATAAAATACATGATGACACAGTACAGAGATTATCTTGGCAAAGCCTGGCGTGACTGAATCACAGAGCTTGACACTTGTGAATAATGTGATCATTGCAAAAGTGTACCAATGAAAGCTTCATACCTCACCAGTACGTGTGTACAAGTTTGTTAGTGCATTCTGTTTCAGCACATTTTCTAGTACTGGATACCATGGATAACTGAGGCTGTGGCTTTTTTGACATGGTGAATACAAAGTGAGAATAGTTTCAAGAAGGAAGGGTCTCACATCCTATTCCTTATCCCTACTGACTCTTGGATGCCTACTCCTTTCCTTTGCCTTGAACCAGTTTTGGTGCTCAACTTATCGCAAGGACGAACTAGCTCAATAAAATGAAAGATAAGTACTATGGCAAGAATAAAGGAAAAAATGACTTTTTTCTTCTTTGTTATTAAATTGAATCATCTTACCTTGATACCTTATGAACAGGACAGCCATCAGTGGCTGCAAGGAGTTGTGTGTACCAGGCCCTTTACTGTCTGCTTTTGGGTGCTTACAGGTGCATGCAGCAGCTCAGGGGGGAAACAGCAGGGGGATGTAATGTGTTTCTTGTGTGTTTGCTGTTGGCAGTATTGCAAAGTGTACCTTAAGAACCTTAGCCAAGGTGTATGACCAAACAAGCCTGTTACTTACCATGTTTGTGTTCACTGCAGTCGTCATAAATGCCCAGTCCCAAAAGGTGCACCCTGGGGTTAAGCTTGGCAGGGTGATCATGGCCAGCCAAAGTTTGTCCACAGCTTGTAGTCAATAGCGGAAGAGCATGAGGAGCATCACTATGGAGTTCTAAAGGTCTTGAACTCCTGTTGAGTAGATGAAGATTTGACTTACCCACTTTTCAATTTAGTCCTCTTGATACAGTGCATAAAGCTCTGAGACACCATCGTGCTGTTTGCAAGCACAGATATGGGTGGGCTGATGTGAGCAGGGAGGTGGAGTTATAGTCTTGGTAAAGGTCTCACACTCCATCACATTGTTGGCAGCTCGTGTCATGCTGCCTGAAGAGGACACAATATCCTGCAGCACCATCACTCCAATTAGAACTCTGCGATCTCACACAGCTTATGTAGGATCTTGAAGCAGAAAAAGAAAATGAGGAGTGTGTTATATCATAATGCTGAAAGTGTTAGAAAGCAAGAGGAAGCCATGATCAGAGGGAGGGAGGAGCAGTGGAGGGAAGAGCAGAGAAATTCCTCTTCCTTTTAGCAATGGTAAGATATTTATTCCAGTAGCATCCACAGAGTAGCATGTAGGATTCCTTTCTCCCATATTCCTGTGTCAAATATAGCTGAAGACGGGCCATTAATTTCAAAGAGAGTTTGTTTGGAGCGGAGTCTGTTCTCAGTGCAAGTAGAAGGATCATTTTTCTTAAAAAAAAAAAAAAAAAGTAATTTACTGTTATTGTGGATAGTGTAGCTGCTTAAAGATCCAAAGCATTATGAGATAATTGTGGTTTCCTATGCTCTTCTCTCTGTGGTGTTTGCAGTGTTTGCCTTAATGCTGAAAACAGTACATGTTTAAGAGCGCAAGAAACTGTTTATCCCTTGCAAGCATGTCAAATGCACGCGTGCTATACTGAGTGGCTCAACTTGTGCCTACCCTCCACCGGCAGGCACGGGTAACCCGTTGAACCCCATTCGCGATGGGGATCGGGGATTGCAATTCTTCCCCGTGAACGAGGAATTCCCAGTAAGTGTGGGTCATAAGCTCAGGTTGATTAAGTCTCTGCCCTTTGTACACACCCCAGGTAGGGGTTGGTCGCTTCTCCCAGGCAGCTATAAGTAAAACAGGAGGGCATGGTCTTAAGCTGTGCCAGGGGAGGTTTAGGTTGGATATTAGGAAGAAATTCTTTACAGAGAGGGTAATCAGGCATTGGAATGGGCTGCCCAGGGAAGTGGTGGATTATCCATCCCTGGAGGTTTTTAAGACGAGACTGGATGTGGCACTTAGTGCCATGGTCCAGTAACCACGGCGGTGTTGGATCAAGGGTTGGACTTGATGATCTCGGCGGTCCCTTCCAACCCAGCTGATTCTATGATTGCTCATGCTATCAGAGGAGAGCACTGTGTAGGTACTACAGTCTGTTGTTTATCAGAATCTTGTGATCCTGAAAAACACTCAAAAATCCTCTTGTGTAGAGATAGCCCTGTGACATTTAGTAGTTTTGCGCTTCAGAGCAATGGGGGTGGATCCCTACAGCACCTCTCTCCATGGCATTTTGTTTCAGCCAAAGGAAGGAAATGTGTAAGTTGTCTGGAAATTACTAGGGAAATAGAATTCCGATTTGCCTATGAAGAAAATGGTGGTTTCTTGTAAGGAACATCAAATTGTTCATGGAAGATGAACAAACGATGAATGAAGCTCTTCAGAACAGTAGTTTCATTTTAGCTGGCTATATTTATCAACATCCTGTTGTTTAGTATTTCATCTTTTTAACAATATCCCTTTTCCTCCACTTCTTGCAAATATCTCTTTCAGTTTCTGCAGATAGTTCTGAGTGTTTAAATTGCCTGCATGCTATGCCTGGAGGATTCCAGTCCTGGGCTTTTCTCTGCCTTCCAGTAGCTGTAAAAATTCATTTCCCTTCACCCTTTCCTTCTCTCTTTGCAGGTTATTTTGACAAATCAGATTACCACATCGCTGAGCAATGGCCCTGCGATCCAGGCAGACCTGGTGTCTCCAGCTGATGATTTGTCCCTGTCTGAAGGTAAGAGATCCCTCTATCAGAACTGAAACTCTACACTGACACAAATCCACACTGTAATTTGCAGCCTTCTGTTGATATACAGGGGTCTGAGAGAGTCGAGTTAGCAAGTCTTGCCTAAAAGAGTCTGGAACAAAATTATTTTTCAGTTTCTCTGAAAATCCATTTATAAATAAAAAACAAGTATGTGGACTAACTAGAAGGATCTGACACTTTCTGGAGCCTAAGAATGAATTTTTGAGCCATGTCAGTTCCTCGGTGTTGTACTGTCATGCACATGCATTTAGAGTATTATTTTCTCAGTCTTCTGAACCTGCTGCAAGAGTAGATACACAGGCTAGGCTGCAAATTTTACCTTCTCTAATGATTATTACTAATTCCAAAGAGAACTAACTGGTCAGAAAAGAAGGAAAGCAAATACTCGGTCCTGTCTCTTGAATTATGCTTGTCTGGTTTTCAAGTACAGTGCCTCAGACTGCATCTCTATGTTGTGTGAATGTACTAGGAGGGTTTTTGTGATGCCATATATTATTTTACATCCTCAAGTTTGTTTTTTCTGCACAGAATTAGAGACAGGCATGCTCTTTTTGGGTACTAGTGAGGATTCAGTGTGCTAGGAAGAAAAGTTAATTCTAAATCAAGATTTGCAAAGTAATATAATAAGTTCAGCTTTCCCCACTTGCAAAGAATAGTCAGAGTACCCTCAGTCAGGGACAGATGCAAAAAGTTTGTTATTTAGAGTTCAGTTCATGCATAGACCCAAATGTATGATGTAAAGCGATGTTTCTCTTTCCTGCAAAGACATGATAATTGCATGTGGACTTTCCAGTTTGTATAACATACGTATTTCTGCTCTTTCTCTCCTTGTTCCACTTTCTGATGATTCTGATCAGCTTATCTGTGTTCTAGTTGATCACAAACCCTCTTAAGCTTCTCTGACTTAACAGAAGTACAGCCTGGTGGCAAAAACAACAACCAAAAAAAGTGGTTAAAACTGACATTACTTCTGCAACTTATTTCAGTGGACAAGAGAAAGAGGTTGAGGATAGGTTAAACAGAGTGTCAAAGAGTAGCAAGTAACTTCAGTGCAGTGCCTTAACACTGATTGCTGGGTTTACTTCATAATTTTGTCAATAGGAGCTTGGTAAAGCACGGCTCATTAAATCATTTTGAAATTGCGCTTGTAGCTGTGGTTGGCTCTGTCCCTTGGCAAAGTATCTCTGAAGTTCATTGCTTGGATACTGCTCCTTACCTCTGTCAGAAAGAGTTGAAATTCGGTAACTAGATTTGGAAGAGGAAGGCATAATTTTTCACCTTTATGATTTCTTGGCATGAAATTGTGCATCATCTCATTAAATGCTCTTGATCACAGTACTTGTGGTTTTCCTTGTCTTTTAGAATTGCTATGTATGAACTTTCTCTGAAAAGAAAGGCATAGCTGACTCTGAAGTTGAAGTAATAACAAAATATGTTCTCAATAAAACATATTTTCGTCCCGTGGTTAAAATATTTGAAGATACTTCGGAAAAAAATATGGACAAGTTGCAGTCTTTCTAAATTTCCCAGCAAATATGAAAGATTCTTAGTCCTGAAATCAGGACTATGCAAGAGATGGTGTAAAGATTTTTGTAGCAGTTACAGGTTATTAATGAAGCTATCATGTTTTGCCTAAACTACCACCATTATTTTTCACCTTTTAACCCAAGAATGAGTTAAAATGTGTTGGTGCTGTGTGTGTGTTGTATTCTTTTGTTGCTCTCATTCCTTGTTTTTAATTAAGGATCTGAAGTGGTAAAATGAGCCAGCATCACAGTTGCTGAAAATGGAAATGTTTGTTTTGCCACAGGACAAGAACAGTACAGTCAGTAGCAGTGCAGGCTCCTTCAATAATTCAGGTTTTATCAAGGGATAAAGGGCTGATAAACTTCTTTCCTTTTCTCCCTTCCTTCTTCTGTCGACTAACATTAACATGGCATTTACATGCTGTGTTGTGTAATGGAAGAACACAGTGCATCTTCACACTACATAGTGTTCTCCCTGTGTCTTTCTTATTCATAGAATGGCTGCTTCTGGATTTCCATTTTTCATCACTTTTAACACATGCTGTCTACCTGTGAGAAAATGTGGAATTTCAGGCCCATTCAGCATTTGATTTCTGTGTTTATCTTGGTATCAAAAGCTACAAGTGTGGACAATGTGTTTTAGTGGATTTTTTTAACATTGAGGTGTTGACCTGTCTTGAGAAAGTTCCCCCTTTTAATGTGTTTCTTGTTAGCTATTGAACAGCCTGAAAGTAGCAATACTTTAATTTTATGATGATTTTTTTATACTTTCAGAATCCTAAATTAATTAGTCTTCTAGGGTTAGTGTGATATTCATAATACTTACTACTCTTTTACAACTGTAGAATTTGCAGGAAAGAGTAGTTAGGTGAGTAGCCAAAGTGCACAAAGAGGATATGTTGCAGGGTCAGGGATAAGAGGCCAGATTTGTGACTGAGTTCTTACCTAATTGTTCCTTGTCACTCATCACCAACTAAAGCTGAATTTGAACCAGTGACCTAGATGTGAAAGGACCCATAACACATTATTAGTCCTGTAAGCAACTCAGACTACTTGGTTTGTGTATGTCTGATATGTTGTTTTAATCCTATCTGAAATCAGAGTCCAGTCACTGTAAATGGTTTGCTAAAAGGGTAATCTTTCTTAGGGAGAGGCAGAAATGAAAATTTCAAACTGAATGTGCTATTAGAATGAAGTGGAATGTTACAGTGTCTTTTGGTTTTGCTTCTGATTGTGCTTGAGAAGAGAATTGCTTGGGTTACGTGTTAGATTAGTCAAGAAACCAAGGAAGCTGTTCATCTGATGTGTGACAGAAAGTTAATCTGATGAACAAGCTGAAAGGACATTGTCAAGCTGTTTCAGGCTCAAAGGTTGTCTTCTGTAGAATTGTAATCTAGTGCATGAGAACTTGTGTCCTAAAAATATGTTAGGTTTTTATGAGAACATTAATGGCTTTGTAAAAGCAGTGCTGGCTGTAAAATCCCACCACTTATGTACCAGTGTAAGAATTCATGAACTGTTTGTTGGTAATTTTTATAGGAAATGGTTACGTCCAGCTAAATTCCCAGATCTGTGCATACTTCTGCTTCAAGACAGATAAAAAAATGCTTAGTTTGTTACAAATTAAAGTGATGAATAAAACACAAAAGTTTCTCTACCCATGGTCTGAGCTCTTGCAGTCATTTGGCCTTTACATATTGCCAGATTATCATCTGAAGGAGTTAAGACTAATAGTCTAGCTCCAAAATTCTCAGAGATGTAAGGCTGTCGCTTCTTCCCTGGGAAGCAAACTCAGTTTCTACTTGTTACTGCACCATTCTTACATAGCCATCTCTCAAACCATGTCATCACAGGAGATAGACTGGAGGATGATTGTGAACACTGCTCTTTCACTTTCACTCTTGCTTTATGAAATAGTCTCTGTTTAGCTCTTCTGGTCAGAGACAATTTCCAGTTTGAGAAGCCTTAAAGTTGTTTTAGATTGCAGGGGTGGTCAGACAAGCCCAGGATTATCGCAAGAACTAATGCTTTATTACTTAGACATAAAAAGTAGCTCTTACCCGATGAAAATTTTTTTTAATAATTAAAAAAAATAGATTTAAGCTGCATTAGGCTAAGTGAACACTAGAAAGGGAATGTAAATGTACACAGCAAAATATTTTGCATGACTGTTAATGGATATTTTTAAACAAGTTATCTGTGGCTGTGACTGTACTATTTTTGTTATTTTCACATGAATAAATTTTACCTAATGTAAAAAGTCTTTAGAAATTAATTCTAAGCCTGTGTGTTAGAGTGCTAGCTGGACAGGGAAATTTGTGTGTTTCTTTTGTGTGCTGCAAAGAGATAAGACAGTATGACCTACTTGAGGTCCCTTCTAGTCCACCAGTGCCTGTCTTATTAATGTATCTGCCAGCTGCAAGCTCTAACTTCCTCTCACAGACATAAAAGCCAAACTCAGTCTTTCTTGGAAAAAGCTCAGGAGTGTGTTGGTATGAACAAGAACAGTATCCCCCTCACAGCATGTACAAAGTGTCAAGCAAAAAAATGAATGCTGTCTTGGGCTTCTTCAGTCTCAGCTAGTACTTTCAGATATTTGTTTGAAAAAGTCAGAATTATTTTGTGTTTAAAATTGTCTGTAAACTTGTGCTAGCTCTGGGGAAGCTAGTGTTCAGTCTTTTGCCATTTGTGCTCATCAAGCAGTTTGTCATAGCATTGTATATTTTTAGTGCACAGTGTGAGCAATGAGTTTAGTCTGACCTTTTCAACTTTGTTGCTCTGATCTTGAATTCTTTTAAGCTGTTGAGCAGAAGTAGGCTTTCGTGTTGTGGAGACTGGAGAAAACTAAGCTGCCATAATATCTCCCACCCACAGGATTTTCCTGCTTCAGCTTAGGAGCAGAAGATCTGAAGCTGGAATCTTTGGCTTCTCTTCCTTGCTTTGCCCTTGATTTCTAGTCATATTGTGATTAAATTGTTTTATTCTTCAAGCCTCAGTTTACCATTTTTTAAAATTTGGGGTTATATTTTTATTCTTCAACTTTTTTTTGCTTTCTTAATATTTCAGGATATTCCTGGGGGAAAATAATGAGTTGACCTCTTCACCTCAGAGTAAGATCAGTTCTGTAGTTTATTACTTCTCTCTCTTCAAATCCTCTTCTTTCAGTCCTGCTGCCAAATGGAGTGAAAACACTGAAGGAATTATCAAGTGAACTGAGGAGCCCCCAGAGATCAGAGGCTGTTGGTTGGTTTTGGTTTGTTTATTTATTGATTTATGTGTGCACTTAATGTTTAGGGTTGGATCTGCAGGTGACTTAATTAAAATAAAAAAGAATATCCTGTGAGAACATAAACTTACCTGTTTTGCAGGAACCGTGAGCTTACAGATCAAGCAGCTGTTAAAAAAGTTTCTAAAACGCTTTCTCCTTGTAGTTTTAAATCTAATGCAGAATAATGCATGTCCTAGTGAAGTGCTCCAGCATGATATACATTTAAATGCTGTGGAAAGTATCATAACACTTTGGCATGTTTTAGGGCTTTAGTGTTTTAGCTGAATGCTCTGTAAACTGATTGCAGCCTGGTTTACACAATTTTGCTTGAAAGAGAAAATAGTTTGTCTTGGATCATTGAAGCAGTATTGTTAGTTAATTATAATACATTTTTGAATAGGACAATTCATAAATGAATATCCTATCATTTTAATATGAATCCACTCTGACCTTCTGAGACCCAAGTATTTGGAAATACCTACTAAAACCCTTTAATTTTGTTACCATTATATAATCTCTATCAAGGTTACTGGGCATGTAGAAACTCAAGAACCATGTGGCATGGTATATGTAAAGTCTTTTGACTGTGACCCCTCATGTGGATCCTGTGAAGCTTAATGAATTTTAAATATGCAAAAGGCAATGAGTACAAATAACACTAATGGTATTGCCAGATTATTTGGAAGATGAATTCCAACAATTACACCGTGTCTGTGCATACTAAAGAGTAAATTTCCCAACTGAGACTAGTGTGCAGGTGTGAATCCTAAAGGCTAAAGCACATGCTTGAAAAGGTAAAGAGGGGACCTTATCAATATGTTTAAGTATCTGAAGGGAGGGTGTCAAGAGGATAGAGCCAGGCTCTTCTTTGTGGTGCCAAGCAATAGGACAAGAGGCAACAGGCAGAAACTGATGCACAGGAAGTTCCATCTGAATATGCAGAAGAACTTCTTTACTGTGCAGGTGACTGTGCATTGGAACAGATTGCCCATAGAGATTGTGGAGTCTCTCTCACAGGAGATATTCAAGAACTGTCTGGATGCAATCCTGTGCAATGTGCTCTAGGATGACTCTGCTTGAGCAGGGAGGTTGGACCAGATGACCCATTGTAGTTCCTTCCAGCCTTGCCTGTTCAGTGATTCTCTAATGGAGTTCTCTTCTTGGTTTATGGCTTATGAAGGTAGGGAAGGGCTACAATATAGCATTTGCCTTCTACAGTTCTAATGATACATGAAAGTGTAGTGAGATTTGCCTCTGTGTTTGCTTTGATATTAATTACTACTTCTCACCTGATGGTTTGGTTGCCACTTAGGCACAATGTCAGCTGCCCTCCTGTGATGGGACAGAACAGCTCCATGAGCCACAGGATTCTGCCTCCAAGTCTGAGCCTTGGCCGTTGTGACTTTAGTGTCAGAGTTGATAGAATTATTTAACTGGTTCTCGTTCATGTGAGCTCAATAATGGAACAGCTGGAATTGTTTCTTTCTAATCCTTTATTTTGATGCTGGACTTCATGTCTCAGCTGTCTTTTAAGAAATTGTTCCAGCATAGACCCTATAACCCACTTCACCAGCCAACAGTGCTGTGGGAAGCCTTTTATTCCTTCAGTCTGTTCTGTCTTTGAGTTACTTCTCCAGCTTCAGACCTTTCATGAAAAAGATTATTAGCCCCACATACTCTCGAAGGTGAGAAGGGAGCTTATCTTCCTTCACCTGCTAGAAGTCAACACAGTCCATCTACTTCAGGACAGGTAAACAGTGAGCACTGAAAAAAAGGGATGACCTTGATAAAATTCATTAATACATGTGGGAGGGAAAAATGCGCCTCCTCAAAATACAATTTGATTCTTGTGCTTCCACTGTGTTTGTGTTTCTTGTAACTCTGTGCTCTTAACAGTAGTAGAGTCTGCCCCCCAGTGCTTCAGTGGAAAGAAAAAAGCCTTTCTGGTTGTTGAGAATGCCACAAGGAAGTGCGCCATCGTTACAGGGCCTGGAACAAATGATATTAACCATTAGGGGAAATGATACTGTGATTGTTTCTGCATGAGGCAGGGTTGCGGTGGTATATGGAGCAGTTAGATTTCACAATAACAGTGGTCATGTTAGCCTGTACTAATTTTGATGCTATATTTCACTAAGTGGGAAGTAACGACATAATAACATCTAGCCAAATTTTAACGGCTTTTTAATCAAAAGATAAGTCTCTCAGTAAAACATTGTTACAGAGACTGTATGTGTCTATGGAAATGTCAAGCTGAATGACATGCATAATCACTTGATATAGACTATGGAAAGGTTGAAAACTGTCAGCAGGAACACTCAAAGACCTCTATATATCAGTTTAAGAGAATCTCCATTCGTCATTTCCTAATTGCTATGATGAGAGAATACAAAGTTTTACTGCTTTGTTGTGGTTTCTTTCTGAAGACGTGATATGACTTACAATCATTAATCAACAATTTGTAATCCAGAAAGCCTTCAGGTACATTTGCTGGGAATCACTCATCTATGTAATTAGAAGCACGATAACAGAAGTGATTACAGTCATAGTTGAGTGGTTAGGAGTTACCACCTCTCAGCTGCTAAGTAACTTACCTCGGCTGAAAAGAAGTGCGCTGAGTACGTGTTACACCTTCCAATGCAAAGTAGAATGGGTTTGCATGAATCCTGCTGCACACACCAGTTTATTCCTGTGTTCCTGTAACTGCAGTAAGCTTGAGAGCATGTATGTGTCAGTCAGTGAGTTTCAGTGGATGGCATATAGCTGTAAAGCATTGTAGCAAGATTGCAGTTGGTCATTTCCTTATGCCCTAAAAATGTTTAAAAATAAGATTAACTCATTCTACAGTGTGGGTGAATAATGAACTTTTTCTGTGGTCCTGCAAATCAGTGGTTCAATTCAGAAAAATGAGACATGGTTTGGCTCTAAATCCCTTCTGCAGTCCTACATTGCACCTCAGTGTTGGTGGAACTGCTCTAAACTAATTTATCTTTCAAATTACATTGTAAAAAATGAATTCAAGGGTAGGAAAGAGCTAAACAGCACTTGTCCCTGTGCACAATGACCAATTAAATTCTGTCTTAACTCACTATGGATTGTCCTTAAATCTGTACAGAGGTTGAGGAAAAAATATTAAATTAATATTTATCATTGAGTAGCATTTAGTCCCATTTCTTCTGGAGTTTTATAGTACCAGCAATGGATCTTTCTTCTCACAGAACTGGGAAGGGATCAGAAGGATTTTGATTTATGGGAAAACATAACTATGGGAATCATATTTGTCTTGGGGCATTACATGAAGCATATGGCTCACCTGCAGAACTTGAACCAGTTAGAAGTGACCCTAGGTGCAGGTGTTATGCCAAAAGGGAAGGCGAGGGTGAAGGGACAGAGGATACTTTTAGAGTCAGTTGCCTGTGTTCGAGTTGCAGTTCCAGCTGGATTTCCTCTGGGTTTACTGCAGGATGTTTGAAAAACTGGCTCCTTGTTAATCTCAGGCAGCTTCTGTGATTGATGATTCCCCTTAATCGTAAAAAGAGCACATGGGTGTTTCTGCTTAATTTGTGTCTATTTCCTGCTTTATTATTGTAATAATGATTTATTGTCTTAAATTATGGAAGTTTTATAACCTCTTAGCCTTTTTTGGAGGTTGAAGCTGGGCACTCTGGCGTGTGAATGAACTTCTTCCCAGTGGCAGTCTACTCCTAAAATGTTACATTCAAACCCAAACATAACATGATATATAGTTGGTGCATTACCTCTTAATTTAATTAAAATAGGGAGCCTTGAGTATGAGCAGATTTTGCATGCTTCACAGAGACAAAATTAATCTAATCTGGATTTTGCTGGTCTTCTCATAATATCAGTTATACTAAAAAATAAAATTAAGAGATATTTGGAGAAAAGCAACCCAAGTGGTCACAGTGCAGTACAGAAAGATGGGTGAAGAAATGGTAGAAAGAGGAAATGCCTGGAGCTTAACTAAAGGAAGGCTATGTTTACATTAATTTCTGCTCTCCTAAAATGTCCTGCTGTTGCTCCAGTCTTCTAGGCAAGCCACAGTCTACAGAAGATTCCTGCATGAGCTGGTGCTTAACTACTGCCAGAAAGGGTAAAAAAGACAATGGCTCAAGTATGAATAGCTGCACTATTAACAATGGAAAATTTGTCAGGAAAAGGCAAAACAGATGCTACTGCTGGGTAAGCAGCCATGATTCTTTGGGAGTAATTTGAGCCAGTCTGATACCTGGCAGGGGAGTTGTTGTTTCAGGATGGCACATGGATATGTAAGGCAGTAGTTTGGGCATGTTTTAGCTGAATATCCGGAAGTTGTTTCTGAGCGTGAAATCTGTTAGACCAGCTGTTCCCAAATGGTTTGTGTTTGTGCCCCTGTTTCTGGTGGTGAACTCACCCCAGCCAAGCTTACGACCCCAAATACTAACAAAACAATCACATCTCTGTCAGTCTTGTGACCCCACTCTGTGTGGCTGTGACCCTGCTGGAGGTTACAACCCCTGGTTTGGAAATTGTTGGGATAGACTGTCAAATAGTCCTGCTGGGGGAGCACTGATATGCCCCATCCAGGCCAGGATCATCACAACAAATGCCTTCAGATCTCACAGTAATTTGTAGGTCCCTGCCACTAGTTCGAGACTGCAGCTTATTAGAGCTGACATGTCACTTTGGTACATCAGGAACATCTTGGAGATCAAAAGGTCATAGTCCTCCCACGCTGCCGCAGTCTTTCTTCATGGACGTGCCTCTTCGTCTTGCTTCTCCGTCAGCTGGCTGGCAGCGAGCCCCGGCGCCTTCATGGCGTGGCTGATTCGGCCACAACTGCTGGATGTGTACCAGCTGCAACTTCTGCCCCAAGCCAGCCTTTTCAAAATGGTTCTCCCTGAATACTCCTTGCCTTAATGAAGGGATTGATATCTATCTCTCTCTGCTGAAATAATTAAAAGCTGTATAGGGAACT